TAGAAGTGGTGGTTATTCAAATGCATAAAACTCGGGGGGGGGGGGGAATCCCAAAGCACAGAAAGAAAACAGGGAAACTTGGCCCTAATCAAAGGGTCGAAATAAATCTCCAGAAGGGCCTTGGGTGCCTCGGGTGGTTAAGCATGCGGCTTTAGATTTCAGCTCAGGTCGTGTTCTCAGGGTTGTGAGATCAAGCCCCCATCTGGCTCCATGCTGGGCATGGAGACTGCTTAAGAATCTTCTCTCCCTCTCCCTTGGCACCCCCACCCAGCTCCCTCTCTGAAGACAAACAAACAAAAAAAACCCCACATACTTTGGAAGATAACAAATATAAATATATGTGCAGAGCACCCAAATATATGAAGCAAACACTGACAGAATTGACAGGGGAAATAACAGTGGAGTACAGTATCTGGCTTTCAATAATGGATATAACAACCAGACAGAAGATCAATAAAAGATCAGAAAATCTGAATATCACTATTTATCAAACGGACCTAATAGACATATACAGAACACTCATTCCACCTTATAACAGCAAAATAAACATTCTTCTTAAGCACACATGAACTGTTTTCCATGAAACCACGACAGACCACAAATCAAGTCTTACAAATTTAAGAAGACTGAAATCATACCATGTTATCTTTTCCAATCACAATGGGCTAGAACTCTAGCAGTTGGAAAATTAGAAAATTCACAAATACATGGAAATCAACAAACTCCTGCACAACCAGTGTGCTGGAGAAGTCCCAAGAAAAATTAGAAAATATCTTCAAACAAATATGAAAATACAATATACCTAAACTTATCGGATCCAGTAAAGTAAGTACTAACAGAGAAGTGTATAGCAGGAAGCACCTACATTAAGAAAAAAGATTCCAGGGCGCCTGGGTGGCTCAGTCAGTTAAGCATCTGCCTTCAGTTCAGGTCATGATCCCAGGGTTCTGAGATCGAGTCCCGCATTGGGTTCTTTCTCAGCATGGAGTCTGCTTATCCCTCTCCCTCTCCCCCCTGCTTGCTCTCTCTTATAAATAAAATCTTTAAGAAAAAAATAAAAAAGATCTCAAATCAACAACCTAATTTTTACACTTCAAGGAATAAGAATAAACCCACAGTTAGCAGAAGGAAGGAAATAATAAATATTAGAGCAGAAATAAAACAAAATTAAAAATATCAAGACTAAGCACTAATTTTTTTAATGATCAATAACATTAGAAAGTCCTTAGCTACATTAAGGAAAAAAAGACAACTAAAACCAGAAATTAAACAAGAGTCATTTCAACTGATACCACAGAAGCAAAAGAATTATAAGAGACTACTATGAACAACTGCATGCCAACAAACTGGATAATCTAGAAGAAATGGATAAATTTCTAGAAACATACCAAGACTGAATCATGAACAAATACAAAATTTGAATTAGGAATTAGTAAGGAGATTAAATCAGTCATCAAAAACCTCCCAAATGAGAAAAGCCTAGAATGAGATGGCTTCACTGGAGAAATCTACCAAGCATCTAAAAAAGAATTAATGCCAAACCTTTTCAAACTCTTCCAAAAAACTGAGAGAGAACATTTCCAAACTCATTTTAAGAGGTGAGCATTACTCTGATACCAAAGACAAATACACTTTAAAAAAAAAAAATTGTAAACCAATATTCCTTATGAACATTGCTGCAAAAATCCTCAACAAATATTAGCAAACTGAATTCAATACACCATGACCAAGTGAGATTCACCCCTGGGATGGAAAGATGATTCAACATATAAAAAAATGAACGTAATAGAAATGTTACCAAAATGAAGAAAATCACATGACTATCTCAACTGATGCAGAAATTCAACACTTTTAAAAGATTTATTTTAGAGAGAGAGAGCAAGACAACACATGCGCATATGAGTGGGGGAAAGGGCCAGAAGGAGAGAATCTTCAAGCAGACTCCCAGCTATGTGCAAAGCCCAATGACAGTGCTCCATCTCACAACCCATGAGATCATAACCTGAGCCAGAACCAAGAGTTGGACGCTTAACCCACTGAACCACTCAGGTGTCCCTCAACATTTTTTTTTTTAAAGTAAGCTGTAGGCCCAATATGTGGCTTGAACACATGACCCTGAGATCAAAAGTCACGTGTTCTACCGACTGAGACAGCCAGGCACTTCCTACCAAAATCCCAATGGCATTTTTTGCCGGAACAGGAAAAAAAATCCTAAATTCACATGGAATCTTAATGGACACCAAACAGCCAAAAACAATCTTGGCAAAGAATACATCATTTCTTCAAATTATATTATAAAGCTACATTCTAATATGATATTGCCATAATGACAGACATATAGGTCAACAAAATGGAGAACACAGAAATAAACCCTAAGTGTATGGTCAAATTATCTTTGACCAGTATGCTAAGACTACACAATGGGGAAAGGATGGTCTCATCAATAATGGTGCTGGGAAAAGTGGATATCCACATGCAAAAGAAAGATGGATCCTTATCTTACACCATTTACAAAAATTAACTCAAAATGGATCAAAAACCTAAATCTAAGATCTGAAACTATAACACTCCAGAAGAAAACAAGGGAAAAGATTTGATTCATGACTGGAATGAGCAATGATTTGATAGGATACCAAAAGCACAGATAACAAAAGCAAAAATAGATGAATTGGACTGCATCAAACTTAAAATCTTCTGCATAGCAAAAGAAACAATTAACATAGTGAAAAGACAACCTACAAAATGAAAGAAAATGTCTGCAAACCATATATCAAATAAGGGGGAATAAAGAAGAAAAAAGAAAGGAAGGCAGGCAGAAAGAAAGAAACAAAGAAATCCTACAACTCAGTAACAAAACAACCCAATTCAAAAATGGTCAAAGGACCTGGAGAGACTTTTTTTTTCAAAGAAGGTATACAAATGGCCAAAAAGCGTATGAAAAGATCCTCAACATCACTAATCATTAGGGAAATGCAAATCAAAACCATAATGAGCTATCACCTTACACCTGTTAGGATGGCCACTATAAAAAAAACAAGTAACGGGCGCCTGGGTGGCTCAGTTGGTTAAGCGACTGCCTTCGGCTCAGGTCATGATCCTGGAGTCCCGGGATCGAGTCCCGCATCGGGCTCCCTGCTCAGCAGGGAGTCTGCTTCTCCCTCTGACCCAACCCCCTCTCATGCTCTCTCTCAAATAAATAAATAAAATTTAAAAAAATAAATAAATAACAAGTGCTGGTGAGGATGTGAGGAAATTGAAACACTAAGCACACTGTTGGTAGGATTTTAAAATGGTGTAGCCACTATAGAAAACAGTATGGAGTTTCCTCAAAATACTAAAAATAGAATTATATGATCCACTCCAATTTCTGGAATACGTCTAAAAGAACTGAAAATGTGACCTCAAAGAGATATCTGCACACCCATGTTCAAAGCAGTCTTATTCTTAATAGCCAAGATAGAAGCAACTTAAATGTCTAATCCTAAATATCTGCTGATAGATGAATAAAAAAATATGGTATGTACATACAATAGACTATTATTCAGCTTCAAGAAAGACAGAAATTGTGTCATATGCTAAAACATGGATGAAACTTGAGGACATTATGCTAAGTGAAATAATCCAATCTCAAAAAGATGAAGAGTACATGATTCCATTTACATGAGATATCTCAAGTAATCCAACTCATAAAAACAGAAAGAGAATGGTGGTTGCCAGGGGGTGGGGGAAAAGGAAACAGAATTGTTGTTCAGTTAAGTATAGTTTCAGACATACAAGATGAAAAAGTTCTAGAGATCTACTGTACAACAATGTGTATACAGTAATACTGTATAAACTTGTTCAGAAGGTAAATTTATATATTTTTTACCACAATAAAAATAAAGCATTGCTACATGCTAACTTAAAAGAATCAAACACTAAAGTACCACATATTGTATGATTCCATTAACATGAAATGTACAGAACAGGAAAATCTACAGATTGGGGAGAAATGAAGGGAGGTTAATAAAGGGTACTATGTTTCTTTCCTGGGTGAGGAAATATTCCAAAATTGATTGTGTTGATGACTGTACAATTCTGTGAAAAAAATCACTGAAGTATAAACTTTAAAATGATGGATATTTCATGGTACATGAGTTATACCTCAATAAAGCTGTTAGAAAACAAATCTACTATGGTAAACAATTTTGAGAATCTTTTGTTTAAGGATAGTCAGTTTTACCTTCAACAATTATATTGTATGTAATATTAGTATCTTGAAAAACCTCTGCTGTTTTTCTTCTGCTGCTAAGGTAAGATACCCTGGTACTTCAGTTTTTTGTTGTTCTCAAACCTTGTTACAGAAGGGAAGTTAAGACATCTAAAGCCTTCAAATAAGTACTAAAGAACACTTTTCTTTTTCCCAAAATCAAATGTCCCTTTTGTCTACATCATCAATGGACCTTCCTTAAACTGTGGTAAAGGAAGCCTAACATTCAATAAAATCTATTCACTTTCTGTAAACTAATAACTATACTTAAATTTTAGGCTCAGAGCCTCTCAATTACCTGCAATGCCAGACTGAGTCCCAAAAAGTTTCATAGATTTAAAAAGGTCGTGGGTTTGGGATACCTGGGTAGCTCAGTTGGTTAAGCGTCTGCCTTCGGCTCAGGTCATGATCCCAGGGTCCTGGGATCAAGCCCCATATCGGGCTCTCTGCTCAGTGGGGAGTCTACTTCTCCCTCTGCCTGTTGCTCCCCTTCCTGTGCTCGCTCTCTCCCTCTATCTCAAATAAATAAAATTTTTAAAAAAAGAGAGAGAGAGAGCGCATCTGGTAAACATAATTTCTGAAAGTACATGGAAACCTGGCCCTCAAAATTCAGATCTTATACACAAAGCTCTTCCTTCAAGTGATAGTACTTTCCTCCCAATTTACACTTAGCCCTTCCATCAAAATAGGCCAACTTCTGAAGGGTAACATTATCACCACTACTTCTCTAATCCTTGTCAAGAGTCCTTACCTGGTTCAGGGAGTTCAGGCTGGGGTGTCAAACTGGGAATTCCCGGCTCTTTTTCCATCTCTTCAATGCTGGCACTGGATTTATCACAAATATTCAACTGTGGTCCAACTGAATCTAAGCGGCTGGCATGATTGGGATCTGCCAGTGTATCCTCTAGTATGTTTGCTGAAGTAGGGGGTCTATGCTCTGGAAACTCATCCCCCTTCTTTAGGGGGTCAGCTGGAAGCAAAACCCCAAAGGCACCCTCAGAGTTTTCTTTCTCCCTAAATCTGTTAGCGCGCTTCCGAGGTTTAGTGCGCCTTTGGTTTAAACGCTGCCACCGCTTTTTAGGCACCGCTTGATTTACACTATTGGGTTCATCATTCTCACTGTTCATTTCAGTATCCACCTCTGGGCCTTTTCTGTTTTCAAAAGAGGGGGCTTTCTCAGGAATTTTATCAGAGTCAGACTGGTTGACTTTGTTATCAAAATGAACACTGGAAAAATGGGCACTGTCTTCACTTGTTAAATGGCCCATTAACTGAAGGGGTTCCTCTTTACCAGGGTCTTCTAGCCCACCTCTTGAGGAACCATTCTCTGAACCTCCACTTGCTCTGTCTCCCTGCAGTGCAGCCTCAAGAGTTACAGCTGGAAGTCGGTTGAGTTTTCTTTTGCGCTCTGTCTTTAAGGCTTTACGGTTCAATGTGTTCTTTCCCAACTGGGCTGAAAAACTATCTCGCAATTTAGATGATGGTTTTGATCGCCCACAGTTGCGCCTAGTAACACAGTTTGAACGACTTTTACCAGAAGCAGGGACGTCTCTTCTGTCAGACACTAAGCCAGGTACAGATACAGACAACTCTCCAGACACTGCAGAGTCACCCCCACTAGAGCTAGGACGGACTGGGTTCTGAGTGCCATCTCCATTTTTTTCTGAACTGTGAGTGGAGCTTCCTGAAACCAAGACCTTAGATGCACCTACAGGACTACTTGTAGAACAGTCCCCAAGACCAGGACTCCGATAAGAGACCAAGTTCTGAGCAGTCATTAACCGTTGCTCCTTGGTCTTACTATCATGCATATCTTTTAACATCATTAACAATGTACTGAATTTGTAGTCTGGTTCAATAGGTATATGATTCTGACCAGAGGCAGGAGAAAAAAGTAATGGTTTTGATGGCTTTGATGTTCCAGAGTCACTCATATCTTCACTTAAGGATCTATAAGAGAGTTCCTTCAACTCTGACAGAACATGTTTCACCACTGCTGTTTCTATGTCATTTGAATCCCTGGTTTTCTCATGCATGTTGCTCAGTAGTTTTAGCCCATCCACTTTCCCACTTTTGGAAATGCTGGCCAAAGGAGAGCCTTTGGTATCAGAAGAACAGCATTTCAAACTGCAGTCCTCATTTGTAACTGGAGGTTCCACTACAACTGGATTTTCTTTATGTTTGCACTTTATACTTCGGATCTTGGGCTGTTTGCTTTTTGAATGTAATAGAGCTTGATTTGTAGACCCACCTTTTATTAGTGAGTTCTCACTGGAAATGCTTGATGGTGTGTTGAATTTTGGAGAGAAACCATCATTTCTAAAATCCGATTGGGGTTTCCGGACAATAGTAGATACTTTAAGATCAGAGAGATTAACCTGAGATGTCTCAGTTCCAGGCTCTGCTGTCTTAGTACAATCCATTAAGTGGTCTGTATGTGAGTTAGTAATGAGGGACTTCTGCTTTGCTTTTACCTTAGTGTTTGTGGCAGGATACCTAGTATACTTTACCTTTTCATTTTTCTGCACAGATAACATATTCTCTGTTCTATCAAAAGCATCTGTAATTTCAAGGACACTGTTATCAGACTCTGAACTGTGATCTATGGGATCCAGATCACTGCTTCCATCATCAGAAGTGGTACAGATACTAATGGAATCACTTCGCTTTTCTTCATCACCTGCTCCAATGTAACAGAGCTGCACTTTTGAACTACACACCAAACCTCGTTGGAGTTTCTTCTTCTCCCCAGAACGTTTAGAGATCAAGGCACCCTCAGACAAGCCCAGTAAAGAGTCACAATTTGAAGTCTCAAATTCTTTCTTTGCTGTGTTTTTTGCACAAGAAGAAAAAAGGAAACTTCCTGGGGCAGTGTTGGACCCTGTGAGGCTGTTTGCTATCCTGGAAAGTTCATTAGAGGCCTGCTTATCAGATACATCCCCAGAAATAAAGTTTAGGCCAAGGTTCTCTGGAATCTTTCCCCTTCGTTCTTCCTTATGTGCTTCAAATTGCATGTGGCCCTTTTTCATACTAGTCCTTTTTGGATTATCAGAACTCTTTCTGGCTCGAGACTTAGCACAAGGCTTTTCCTTCTCATCTGCAGAATGTTCAGAGTCAAAAGCCAGAGATTTCAAGCAGCCATTAAGTAACAGGTCATGTTCTGATTCAGGATCATTTGTACAGTCCTCAAATGGCATATCCTCCTCACTGTCCAACTTGATTGAACTGGTGACACATCTTCGGTTCTTCGACCCTTTGGGAACATCATACTGTTCAGCAAGACCAACACTGGCTTCCCATTTACTCAAAATTTTCTGAGGAACCTGAAATTTAAAGGAGAAAAAGATTATCATTTACCAAAAAATACAAAAGGGAATAGAGAGATGATCAGTAAAGACCTCTCAAATAAGAAGCCTTTCCAAGCCTTGTAACTTCTTCAAGGTACTTTTATGGTACCAGCCAGGTGGTTAGCACCCATTGTTCACCTAGAGCCTAAATAAACAATGGGGGATTCTTCGAATCTACCTCTACCACTAAGATCTGTCATTAGAAGAAAGATTAATCCCACACATCCTCTGCTCTCCCTCCTTTACAAAAGAGGGGACCATAACTAGGACTGCATTACTAATCAACATTACATTACTAAATCAAGGAATAATCAGACCCTTCCTATTTACCCCTCCACACTTTAAAATAAGGATTTATTTTCTTCCTGACTTACGAAGGCCAAGCACTTGCTCAGTTGTATGAGAAAGCAAAAGGCTAAAAAAGATGAACATGGAAAAATGATAAGAGAAATGAGGTCAGATCTACCCTAGGAGACCCTAAATTTGAACCTCTGGTTCTCCCTAGGCCCCTTTATTTCTGGTGATGTATCTGATTATTCTATATATGTTACATAAAATCTGGATTATAACCAGCAGTCTGCTGGGCTGAGTCATGTTGTCCAGAGACACCAAAACACCTTGGGTATTACATATGTGCCTTTCTTGATTCCTCACAGATGGAGACACTGATGCTCTGTGAAATATAACTAATTTTTCAAACTCTTATTTCCCTCCTTGGCTTCATACAATCATTATTAGTCAAGGGTCTAACTATTAGCCAACTATACTTTAATACTTATAAAAGGGATGTTCCACTGAGCATGTAAAAATTCAGGTCACTGGAAAGGTAGCCTCCTCTTATAAAGCAATGAGCTGACCATTTACTTTATTTTACACACAAACACACACTCATTAATTCTCATAACTGTGACAAGAGTAAAACAACTTTCCAGAATCTGAAAGCCCTACTGAACTCCTTTGAAAAGGGGGTTGGTTAAGCTACATTAACTAAAGGCTTGACACAAAAACTCTTAACACCTCCCTACAACCAACAACCCAAAGAATTGGAACTGATGCAGTAAGCCTCCTTCATCATAACAATAACATATACTAGTTGTTTTAGGGCATCAAACTTATGACATATTAAATATTCATCATTATTTCTAATTCTTCCAACAGTTCTAGTGCACATATTATTACACTAGTTTTAGAGATGAAGACACTAATCCTCAGAGAATTCAACTAAGAAACAGAAGGGACTGCATAATGACTCTAACTTATCCTAATAACGATTATTAAGTATTTATACACAGAAAAGCCTGAAACACCAACCTAACAGGAACTATTTCACCTTCTAGAATTAACTACAAAGGAATATTAAAAGAAATAAACAAAATTTTATTCACCCAACTTTAACACAAAACATCAAATAGAACAAAAACACAATATTCTTTATTAAAACATAACTGGGCTTGAAACTGCAACTTTAAGTCTTAACAACCACAAACAAAAACCAAAACAACACCATTTGCAACAACTTGGATAGGGCTACAGAGTACAGTGCTAAGTGAAATAAGTCCGTCAGAGAAAGACAAATCCGTATTATTTTACTCATATGTGTAATTTAAGAAACAAAAGAGCAAAGGGGAAGAAAAAAGAGACAGAAAGACAAACAAATAAACAGACTCTTTAAACTACAGAGAAAAACTGATGGTTACCTGGAGGAGGATGGGTGAAATAGGTGATAGGGATTAAGGACTGCATTTGTCTATGATGAGCACCAGATGATTAAAATAAAAACAAACAAAAACCCAAGACAACAAACAAAAATGTTTAGTTTTATCTCTCTCATTTTTAAGAGAAATAATTAATCCAGAGAGTGAGAAGTAGAATATTTCATTTCGAGGATCATTTTCTTCTTACAAAAGATATGAACAAAGAAGACTGGTCGTGTCATTTTATACTGTCATATCTCAGTGACATGGCAAAAGTTATCTGAAATTATTTTTCAAAAAACTGAGTGTAAATATATGGAAGGCTATCCTGATTTCATCCCAGGAAAAACATTGCTTTCATTTATTTTCTCACAAATATCCTACTACCAAAGGAAATAACTTATATTTAAATAATATAAGATTTCTTTGCCTCTTCCCTGCCCACCCCAAAGAAAATAATTAGAGAGGCTTTATTTCTTTACCTTGTGCCTATATCCTTTTTCTTTTTGCTTCCCTCTTCTCCTAAGAACAGGTAGCTCTTCAAATTGATGTCTGCCTTCGAACATGACGATTGCTTTTCCAGCCACCCAGGCTCTCTCTGAAGGGTCCCCAAAAGCCTCCACGTAGTACTGTCGATAGGGCCTCCGGTTTGAAACTAGATAAAAATAAGAACCAGTGTCATTACTTTAAAACGATGACTGTTCATCTTCAAGAGAACAGCCATACCACCACTGCCAAAGAAATCTCTACTTAAAAAACAAAAAGAGAGAGAGGGGCGCCTGGGTGGCTCAGTCATTAAGTGTCTGCCTTCAGCTCAGGTCATGATCCTGGGGTCCTGGGATCAAGCCCCGCATCAGGATTCCTGCTCAGTGGGAGGCCTGCTTCTCCCTCTCCCATTCCCCCTGCTTGTGTTCCCTCTCTTGCTGTCTCTCTCTCTGTCAAATAAATAAATAAAATCTTATAAAAAAAGAAGAGGTCAGAGGGGGGAATTTTAAATATTCAATCCATGTGGCAAGAAAATGCGTAAGAGATTATGAAACAACTTCAGTGGTTTGGTTTGGTGATATGCGATTGATTAGTCAATCATAGAACAAATTGATATAACAATCAACTAAGTTCCTTTTATCCTCAGTCTATAAAGTCTTACACCATTGTTACCAGAAAATACAAAGGGCATTTAATAAGCCACAACACCACAAATATAATAATCAGTTAGAACCAACCACCAAATTTTTTTTTTTAATATTTTATTTATTTGACAGAGAGAGACACAGCGAGAGAGGGAACACAAGCAAGTGGAGTGGGAGAGGGAGAAGCAGGCTTCCCATGGAGCAGGGAGCCCGATGCGGGGCTCAATCCCAGGACCCTGACATCATGACCCCAGCTGAAGGCAGACGCTTAATGGCTGAGCCACCCAGGCACCCCACCAAATTTTAAAACACTATGCTAAAACATAAGGGAGGAAAAAAATGCTTCAACGCCTTGCCATGTATGATGTGCTAACATTTACAGAATGGCAACTATGGACTAGGCACTCACTTACACTAGGTGTTTTGCATGGATTCTTAGCCTTCACAACAACCAACTCTATGAAATAAGTAGTATAATACCCCTTTTATACACAAGGTAAGTAGAATAACTTCAGAGAGGGCAAATTCAGAATGAAACATTGGCTTTGCAGAGAAAGCAGAACCTGATATTTCAAAATACAGAAATTTAAAGCAAAAAAGGAAATCCCGAGAGCAATAAAAACAACAAGAAATCCAGTTATTCTATAGTTTCTTAGTTGTCCAAAGTTCTAAACATACAACTAACAAAAATAAAACAATACAGATCTTGTCTAGAAAAGATTATAATCAAATTTACATTTTGGCATTTTTCATACCAGTAAAAAATGGGTCACAAAAGAAATATATCAGGACTACACAATGTGTAATAATGTTTTCTTTCTTTTTTACAATGTGTAATAATTGGCCTTTATTTAGAAAAGGAAATCATCTAATATAAAAAATTCACTTACATAGGAACTCACATCTAATCCCCTTAACCATTTTTTAAAAAACAAAAAAAGAATCCAAATATCTCTTTGAATAAAAAAACAGGAAAAGTCTACTTCCTTCAGAATAGGAAAAGAAAAAGAAAAGAAAGGGGAGGGGAGATGCATAAACTCAATATTAGAACAAGTATAAAGAGCTGTAAATACTGTCAAAACTCAGGTATCCACAGTAATTGGAAGAGTAGCCAAAATATCAAGTAAATTTCAAAGGCAGCTTCTTTACAAATGCTAATTTCAAAACTATACAACCAGAGAATGAAGAGTACCTATAAGCTTTCATAAACTTTAGCCGAAATGGCTATTTTTCTACAAAAATAGTGCTTAATAATAAAATTACAACCTGGTTGAATTTTGATTTTTAATCCATTTCAAAAACAAGTTCTATGAAAACACTAAACTCCTTAGTCTTGCTTAGTCTCAACCTACTAAATTAAATCCTTCTGTAGAAACCACCTATAAAGGGGGATTAAAATTGATAAGATATATATGTACCTATATAGTAGTTCAGAAGGTCAATTTGAGAAGTACATAATTCTCCCATAATTAAGTAAATTCAATCAACACAGCCCGAACACTTATGATGTGCCAGCACTAAAGAGGACAAAAAAGAAACTTACTGCCTGGTGGGTAAGAGATATACAAATAGATTATGGTAAAAAGAATATGGTAATTACAGTAACATAAACATTCACTTTTTATTTTTATTTTTTAAAGATTTATTTATTTATGAGAGAGAGCAGATCAAGAATGGAGGGAGGAGCAGAGAGAGGGAGAAAGAATTTTTTAAGCAGACTCCATGCTGAGCATGGAGCCCCAACATGGGTCTTGATCTCATGATGTGAGCCAAAATCAGGAGTAGACCCCTTAATCATTCACTTTTTAAAAATAACATTAAAAAGTGGAGATCATTCTGGCACCTGGATGGCTCAGTCGTTTAAGCAGCCGACTCTTGATTTCAGTTCAGGTCATGATCTCAAATCCTGGGATCAAGCCCCCCTCCGTGCTCAGCGGGGAGTCAGTTTGAAGATTCCCTCCCCTCTGCCCCTCCCCTCACCCGTGTGCATGCTTTCTAGCTCTCTCAAATAAATAAATGGAACCAAAAAAAAGTGGAGATCATTAATTGGAGGACAAATGGGACACCTGAGCAGAATTTCTAAAGGTAAACAATTTGTTAAGGAGAGAATTCTAGTATGAAAGCCCAGAACTTTCAAAGGCATGAATGAATAAACAAACAGCTGAGCACTGAAAGTAGTTCAGAACACTAAAACACAAAAACTTAGCAGGTAAGCAGTGGCTACACCTGAAAGAGCTTGATGCCATGTTAAGAGCCTCACCACTGTGTAAGCTCTTGGCATTGAGGAGCCTCATTTAAACTGTGGAACCACAGGCTCAGTTTTGGGTCTTAGAAATATAAATCTCCTGACCTCGGAATAACACATTCAAGAGGAAACAGAAGACTCAGTAGACCAGAGATTACCGAAATACTGTATAAGCGAGATGACTAGAACCTAAACTAAGGTAGTAACACTGGGAATCAAAAAAACAAAATTTGGAAAAAAAAAAAATTTTTTAGGGGTGCCTGGATGGCTCAGTCGGTTAAGCGTCTGCCTTCAGCTTGGGTCGTGATCCCAGAGTCCTGGGATCAAGCCCCATGTCCAGCTCTCTGCTCAGGGGGAGCCTGCTTCTCCCTCTCCCTGCTGCTCCCCCTGCTTGTATACTCTCTGTCAAATAAATAAATAAAATCTTAAAAAAAAAAATTTAAAGACAAAACAAAAGGATTTGACAAGTAATAAAAAAGTCAGAAGGGTGCCTGCCTGGCTCAGGTGGAAGAGCATGCGCTCTTCATCTTGGCTGGGGTTGTGAGTTCAAGCCTCATGTTGGGTACAGAGATTACTTAAATAAAAATAAAACTTAAAAAAAAAAAAAGGTCAGAACAGATATTTGAACACCATGTTCACAGCAGTGTTATTTACATCAGCCAAAACATGGAAAGAACCCAAATGCCCACTGAAGGATGAACAAAATGTGGTATATACATACATTGGAATATTACCAGCCTTGAAAATGTATGAAATACTGACACATGGATGAACTTTAAAGACATTATGCTAAGTGAAATAAGCCAGACACAAATAAACAAATATTGTATAATTCTACTTATATGGGGTACCTAGAATAGTCAAATTCTTAGAGAAAAAAGTGGAATAGTATTGATCAGGGGCTAAAAGTTCTTATCAAACGGGTACGGATTTTCAGTGTAAAAATATGAGAAGGTTCTGGGTATGTGTAGTGGTAATAATTGCACAACAATGTGTATGTATTTAATGCCACTAAACTGTACACTTAAAAATGGTTAAAATGGGGTGCCTGGGTAGCACAGCTGGTTGAGGGTCCAACTCTTGGTTTCGGCTCAGGTCATGATCTCAGGGTTTTGAGATTGAGCCCATGTCGGGCTCTACACTCAGCACAGAGTCCACTTGTGAGACTCTCTCCCTCTCCTTCTGCCCCCCTCCAATAAATAAATCTTTTTTATAAACGGTTAAAATGGTAAATTTGTGGGGTGCATGGGTGGCTTAGCTGGTTAAGCATCCAGCTCCTGGTATCGGCTCAGGTCATGATCTCGGGGTTGTGGGACTGAGCCCCAGGTCAGGCTCCATGCTCAGCACCGAGTCTGCTTGTCCCTCTCCCTCTGCTCCTCCCCTCCCCACCACCTCCTCTCTCAAAAAAATAATAAATAAAATCTTTTAAAAAATAAAATGGTAAATTTGTTACATATATTTTAGCACAATAGAAAAAAGGTCAGATTAACAAGTATTAGTGAGGACGTAGAGAAATTAGAATCCTCACACTGGTGGACATCTGAACTGGTGTAGCAGCTTTTCAAAGCAGTCTGGCAGTACCTCAAAAAGCTAGAGAGAGTTAACATGTGAGCCAGCAATTCTACTCCTGGGTATATACTCAAAAGATTTGAAAACATTATGTCCACACTAAAACTTATAAACAAATATTCACAGTAGCACTATTCTGAATACCCATAAGGTAGAAACAGTCCAAATGTTCACTGACTGATGAATTCATAAATAAAGGGTGGTCTATCCATACAATGGAATACATTTACCATGAAACAGAATGAAATACTGATACATGAATAGATTTTGAAAGCATTATGCTAAGTGAAAGTAGTCATAAAGGACCACATAGTATATAATTCCATTTATATGAAACGTCCAGAATATGCAAATCTGTAGAGATAGAAAATAAATTACTTGTTACTTAGGGCAAAGAGGTGTAAGAGGTGAGAAGACTGGGGAGAGGGTAGATAAACGGTAAGAGGCTTGTTTTGGGGATGATGAATATGTTCTAAAATTGACTATTGGTGGTAGTTAACTCTGAATATACGAAAAACCACTCATTGAATCATACACTTTAAAGGGGTGAATTGTATGCTATGTAAATTATATCTCAAAAAAGTTCTATACATAATAAAGGATCTGATGGTATAAGGGCACAAGGAAGGAAGAAAAGGGTGACTTCTCGGTATTTGGGGTACATAACTAGGTGGTAGGGATCTATTCACTAAAGCAGGAAATGAAGAAAGT